CCACTGGAGTGGGAACAGACTTGGACTTGGTTGGCTACAATGATAATTATAATGAATGATAATTTCTAGTAGGCGGCCTAGGTGAGCATGGAAGGCTGTCACATTTCTTTATGTACCTGACATTGTGCTGAGAAATTACTACTGCTGCATGAACTGACTGAAAGCAAGCTTGATAAAAGGAAATGTCAAACTAAATCAAAACTCTTTGAATATTCTCCCATTTTTCCTTCCTCTTTAATAGCTTGCTTAACCCCTATGACTCAACCTGTAAAGCCTTTCCCAGCCCCAACAGCCCTGCAATTTTCCAAACCATTCCCACTGTTTGCCTTTAATTCTGAAAATGGAGTAGGAAACTATTTAAAGGATTCATAAGGGACAGGGCATAAATACTGGAGCCAAGATTTATCTTTATTAGCAGCACTTTCTGTGAAAGATGTTATACACCCAATCCCAACTCTTCAAGAACTGCTGGTCAGTATTTCAAGACTGCTGGGTCTTGAAGTGCCCTATTTGGGACCCTTACAGTTTAAGGTCACATTGCCTTCAAGCATTTTAAAGAAAACCCAGCATAAGCACATCACTTTTGCTTTGTACATTTTCCAAATCTTGACTTTATACTACTCCCATTGATTTTTTGACTGAGAGGAGAAACCAAATGAAGGATCTGATTCCTTCTTCAACACAAAGTCCCAGCAGGAGAAATACAGCATTCATTTTTAGGAAGGCCTTTGCTGAAAGGCTTTTATCCTTCTGGATATATAAAAAGATCCCTTCTCAGAGGACACAAAATTTCAAAAGCAGCAGCATTGGCTTCTTGGGCAATAATGGGCACCCTCCCTCTCCCCCAGGTGCCCCAGGAATTCATAGTCTGCTACAGAATCGCTGCATGCAGCAAAGCTGAGTACAAACACAGCTACCAGATCGAAAACCTGTGGCTGAACAACGTAGAGTTAAATGGTGTTATCCTGAGAAAGCAAAAAGCTTTATAATGTTGTAGAACCTCTATTGCTGCCAAAGCACAACGATGTGGTTGTTGGAAAAAGGAGAAATACTATCAAGCATTTAACAAACAGGAGGCAAAAAATGTTTTTCTTGCTTGTACTTTTACCTTATTAATTCCTTCATTCATTTATCCCAGTGACTCTATAACGTGGCAAGACATAAGTGACAAAAACCACAAAGCTAGAACTTGGAACTGGGAGGACGTGTTAAATGCTGCAGCCTTTCAGCAAAGGCCAGGCTTAGGTCACTAAGATGAATTTCTGGTTTCTCTGGACACACATCTAGAAACACCACCAGGAGAATCAATCTTGAGATAAGAGAAATACTGTTGGCCAACATGGTGGCAAGAGCAAGTAGAAGGTGCTGAGAGTTGCAGAGGATATCCCCAGCCACTGGCTCAGCAAATGGCTGCTGCCCAGTCACCAGGCCCCCATCAGGGTCAGATTCCACCACTCTGCTTTAGGATCACAGAATCATTAAGGTTGGAAAGAACAGTAAGATCATCTGGTCCAGCCATCAACTCAACACTATCATGCAAGCTTTCTGCTTGCCCAGAACTCAGCTATTTCAGTGATGTACCAAGTGATTTGTTACCTGATGTAGATACTACCTGAGCCCTGGAGAAGTTTAAGTTCACTTCATCATCCTGTCTGGTCAGCATCCAAGATCCCAAGTTTGGTTTCCATCCACTTTTCCTGACTGGTGATGCTGCTCATAACAATCTGCTCTGGGTCAGAGAGGTATGATTGATGTCCAGCATGCTAGATGCCTTTTTATCCTTCCTCATTTTTATTTTCACATAACATCTCACTTCAAGATTCCCTCAGTGAAATATGATGCATTTTCTTGAATGCAAAAGTCTGGAGATATCCCACAGGTGAATGTGAGATAAATGCAAACTCCAATTCAAAACTAACACTCATTCTTACTCACAAGAACTTCTAAACCCTTCATCATTATATGATCCTCTATTTTTATATAATTACACGAGTAGGGATGTAACAACACAGAGTTAACTGGAGGACCTCAAGTCATCAACTTGATTGCTGCAGCTCTAAGGACTATTGCATTGCTACTTGACTGAGCACTTTGAAAAACTATTTTCAAAAATGTTGTTTGTTATACTAGCTATACAATAGGAGATATGGTGATAAAATTTCCATTGGAAATTTAAAGGCATCAGTAATCAGTCAGTAGGACAGAAGAACAAGAAATTGCATTTTTAAGCAACGTATCTTAATTATCGTTTGTCATCTTTAATGCAAACTCCATGCAAGAAAGGTAATGCAAATATCATGGAGTTGCAGAAGTACAAAATAAATGCCCAGTAACTAAATCAATTTTTAGTTAAATAACTCTGTGTCTCTAAAAAATACTAATTGCATTTAGTAAAAATATCATTCAAAGTCTGACTGTGCCATAATGCTCAGAATTGGGTGAATTGTTTTAAAATTGGGTGAATTTTTATGCATGAGTCATAGAATCCCTGCAAATCACAGCTAGCTATGGAAACGGTGACATAGCTACAGTAGCATTTCTGTTTCAACACTGCCATAATGAGCTTTAATTATTTCACACTTCAACTGATTTGCACATGATGTTCATGATCCTAGCAGCCATAAAAAGTAACATATGAGGAATGATGAGACTCCATCCTCATAACTGGATATCTTTAAGCCACAGGAACAACCAAAAAGCCTTAGGAATCTCTTAAGTCTTAACACTATTTTCCTGCTCAATCGTAACAATTCTTACCAGGTTCCATCTCATGATTTCTGGATATTCTTTTTTAACAGGATGTACCAATGCTAAGGCTTGAGCTCAATTAGCTGTCCACATCTAGATTTACTGAACTCTCAGAATTAAGATTGCTGTTACTAAAAGTAAAAGCATGCACTCAGTGGAACCCCAGTTTGAAGTTTAACAATGAATAGAAAACAGAAAGAGAAGGTGCTTCCTATTGCATTAAGCATACTGGAAACAGAAGAATTACTGCACACACACACTCTGGAAACAATCAGTTATTCTGCTTAGTTTAAAAAAAAAAAATTGTCTTTGTAAAACAAATCATTATATTTGCATAGAATCACACTGCCACATGAAAATAAATTATATTTTCTGCTTGTGTTTCTGTTACAGATTTAATTGATGTAACAGTGCAGAAAACAGAGACAAAATTTTATTTCTTCTGCCTTTTAATTACCATCTGCTAACATAAGATTACTTTTCTTAAAGTGACTGGGTCTACCTGCCAGATGAATTTTTCGCCTGATTTCCTCAAGCTCTGGCAGCTGCCTTCATTATTGGTGAAAATGGCATGGCAAAGCTAGCATGAAAAATGAGGCTAAGCACCTGTCACTTCATTTTTCTGCAAAGAAATAAAGAAAATACATGTAACTCAATGCTCTGCACCATCTATACTCAGCAACAATTTGCTGCAAAAAAAAAAAACCAACCAAACAAACAAACAAACAAAAAAACAAACAAACAACAAACATGTTTGTTCTTACATGCAGTTAAGAGTCATGACCTGTAAAGGAGTTCCAGAAAGCTACCCGTTTATGACAATCAGAAAAGATTTAGACAAAAAGCTACATGGAAATAAATATAAGGATGCATAAGAATTGCCCCCATAATTGCTGAAATTCTTCTGTGAATGTAACATCCTCTACACATGGTTGTTTGGGTATAAGAGCTTAACCAGGGAACTTCACCTAGCAAGTGACACAGTTGAGACTCATTAATTTTCTTTACAGTAAAAAGAGCCTCTCAGTAACTGTGAATCAGCCACGAAGGCACGGAGCCACTCTAATTGTACCGTGGTTACAAGTTTTTGGATGCCTTCACTTTTTCTCAAATTCATGGAAGATGGCCAACATTTGGCATATCTGAAGCCAACATATGCCAGGAAAAGTGACCTTCTCCATCAGACCCAGATATTCAAGTGTTCTTTGAAACCTGTCAACTTTTATGCACAGGAGAACACAACTGACGAGAACCCAAGGAAGGAAACTATGAAGGAGGGCAAAGGCATTTAAAAAATGCATTACAACAGCTTGTTTACATCAATTTCTCTGCTTCATCACAAAATAAGAATGGTTACGTCGCTCTTTTTTTCCAACAGCAGATTAATGAGTTCAGTATGCCTTAAGCAGTGCCATTGCAGTTAAGCTACAATGGAGCTCAGTGCAAAGTTGCATCCCAAGTTACCCAGGACCACAGAGTTGAGGGAGAACACTGAGTACTGTGTTACAGTCTGGGCCTTCCTCAATGTACAGATCTACAGCAGCAGCTCTAATTACAAGGGAAGAACAGATGTGGATCTATGAGCTAATTCTTTTAGGTGAGTGAAGAAATAAGACGAAATACGGGTAGGTTCTGTGATGGCTCAGTTATAACCTGCTTTTCCCAGTGTGGGGAATATCTAGAACCACCTGCCACTTGGTACAGCTTGTACCTCTGCTTCAGATATAGCAATTGCATGCTGGAAGAACTTCAGAAAATACACCTTACAATAAAAAGGAGTGTACAACTGTTAAAACTCAACCATTAAGGAACAAAATGTAGATCTGCTGTTTCTGCAATTGTTGCTTTAATCCTGCTTGTTCTGCCTTCACCTCCACTCACGCACATTATTTTATTTCCCGTTTTGCTAATGTGACCAGAACTGTGTATGATCTTAATCTTAATCTTAATGATGGTCCAAGCAACTGCCTAAAGGAAAGACCTTGAGTTTTCGGATGCAGAAGTTTCCTTGTAAAAGATCACAGAGGGACTATGATGCAAATATGAGGAAACACTTCTAAAGAATTTTCAGAGCACTTAATCCCATCAGATAGTCTCATTGCTCCTATTTTAATTGGTATTGCAGTACCTCATTTTCTAGCAGAGGCATTAAAACACCAGGCTTTATATTCTGGAGATATTTGGGCCAGTTTCACACTGTTGCCATACTCATCCTGTAATCCAAATAATCCACAGAAATATAAATTACCAACCTTGAACAAAGAGTTTGAAGTTTTATCCAATATTCTTCCAAAACAGTCATTCTCTGAGGTTCAGTTTTTCTGCAAAACTGAAGTTGTCCCATTTTTCTTTGGACACGTGCATGTTCATTTCCCAAGATGGATTTTTTCCCTTTGCTTTGCCAAAAGGAAGATTTAGTAGGAAGAAACATAGAAAGATCGGCAATTGAAGTCATGTTGGAATAAAGAATTTATGTGATAAATATATACATTATTCCACCCATATTTGTGGAAGGATAATTGAATTTTTTTTGCATGAGAGACTTTGACAAAACGCATTTTAGTATCTGGGAAGGAAGCATGAAAAGCTTTGTTTTAATTCTTTTTAAAGACATTTCTAATTTTTATGAGACTAAGACCGAAATAATGCATTAATTATTAGCATATTTCCTAAGAAATCATTAGCAGTATATTTTAGCTTTTATAGCAGTGGAGAGTTCAAATCAGGGTCAGATAATACTAACATTATGTGGATTGTTACTAACTTCAGTTTTATTGCAGTCTTTTATAATTCTTGTGTTAAAATCCATGTTCAAATGTCCACAAAAGAGGAAAGGATTATGTTTCCAAGTGCCACAGCACAGTAATCGCATCCACACTGTGAACATTAAATTTGGATATGTCATGTCAAAGCCTTGATATTGCACATGTCTTACAGAAGACAGGATTTGGTCAGTATTTTGGGTGAAAAACTGGCAGATATATATGTCACGAAATAGAGAATTGGTAGTTCAGTAGATGGCACTCTTCCCTTGAAGTTGGTACTGTACCAAAGCACCAGCCTGTTATTGGCACCAGAGACATTAAATGATGAAGTAGGTACTGAAGGGAGACCTTTAATTGCACAAGGTCAAAGATCCCAAGGAGTATTTCCTAGAATATCTACGCTAAGTTTTGGTTTTGATCATCACAGCCCACATTTCCTCCTGACACTTCTATTGGGTAAGGAATTGTGTAGTTTGTGCAGCCCAACGCTGCAAACAACAAAAGGGTTGAGTTCCCAGGGCGAGTGACATCTGCAGTTCAGGTTGTTCAAACCAGGACAGTACTATCACACATCTCCCAGAGTATGCAACCACTTTCAAAGCTTCACTGACTCTTTCATCTAGAAAGAACTGAGAAGAGAATTTTGTCACAGCTTTTCCTTAGGAGTTAATACCTCCTTAATCTTTGTGTGCAACAAATTTAAAGGACAGTCATTTAAGTCTTGAGTCTTTACAGAAAAGTAGCTTAAAAATATAACGTTTACTTCATTCCACTTGGAGGAAATAATCAAGATCAGCAAAGCTCTGGTATGTGTATTATCTGGAGGCTCTGCTATATCTGTGTTAGGGCAAGAGAAACTCTACAACACTTCCATTCAATGCACAGTGCAATAAATACGCACCAAATGCAAGTGTGGTGAATAATTAGATGAAGTTATTACTAGAATATTCAGAATAATTTTCTGGGGCAAATGCAACATCAATTCCTTACTTATTTATGTCCACCGTGGTCTCCCAGTCACAAAAAGTAAACCAAACCACAACACACCTCCTAAGTGTGAAGGCCTAGAATTATGGTTTGCTTCTTTTTGTGTTTTGAAAAATCTTTTCCATGTTTTACAGATCTAGTTTGCAAAGCAGACTCCAGTGCCAACATTTATCCCAGTCTTAACTACAGCTATCCCTATTCCACACACCATGGAGCAAATCCCCGATTTCTCACACTTCCTGCTAACCCTGCTTGGCTTTCATTATTGTCTGGTAAAATCATTTCTTTTATGTGATTGCTTTACCCTAATATTGGCTAAGGCTCACTGCAAGACTACAAGGTTCCCCAAGTAAGATAAATGATGCCTTCCACATTACTATGGGAATGCAGCTTGGATCTTGGACTAACAATGCAAGGGAACAGAAAGCCAAGGTTTTGCTTTCCCCAGAAGACAGGAAAGACATTCTTGAACTTTTTTTCTGAATGACAAGAAACTCAAGACTTTTTTACTTTGAGTTATATTGGAGGGCATTCTTACTTAACCACCAGATGCTGTATCACCACTTGCTCTAACCAACTACCTATACTACAAAAAACTGACAAAGTATTTCAAAGAGACACAAAGAAAAAATCTGACCAATTTTCTGATGTTTGAGGTGGAGATCCTTTAGGTTGTATAAAGAATATACAGACATATTTGCAGAATGTGCTAACAGTACAGTATGAATACCAAAAAGCTGAGGAGGTCTTTTAAGTCATTTGCTGTCCACATGAAACATCATTAGCTAATATCAACCCAGCCTTTCCCAGAGAAATCAATATTAGTCTATGTGCTAAGTTCATATTTTATTAACTACCCTGTAGAGCAGAAAGCACGTGTATTCATCTAAGATCAACTATTTAAAGTCATTTGAAGGTGATGAAATCTTTTAGATATAAAACCTCTCTCAGAATAGATTCATAGGAAAAAGACCTCTAAGATCATCTAGCCCAACCATCAATCCACCCACACCATGTCCACTGGCCACGTTCCTCAGTGCCACATCTCCACAGTTCTCCACAGCACCTCTGGGGACAGTGAACCCATCAGCTCCCTGGGCAGCTGTGCCACTGCATCACCGCTCTGTCAGAGATTTTCCTAATATCCAACCTGACATATAATGCAAGTTTGCCCAGTTAATCTGAGAGGATAGCATTTCAAACACATTTTCTACTTCTGCAGCATGTACAACAATGAAAAAGCAGAAGACAATGCTTATTTATGCCCCGTTACAGTGAAAATTTGCATCACAGCTCAGTACTATATGTAAAAGAACAGTCGATCTCAAGCAGCATAGCTATAAAACTTCAAGTAACAAACTTCATCTAGTGGACTGCTGGGAGGTCTGTGTAAGCAATTATAATTTATGTCAGGATTTATCTTAAGGGTCGTTATGTTTTTCTAGTATAATGATGTTAAACAGTTTGACTTTTTTTTATTACTAGGTAATATATTAACAATGCTTAAAAACCAGTTATATTGTAGTACTGTGACAAATTCATCCCTGGAAAAAAAACAAAACAAAACAAAACAATGATCTAAGATTTCCTGTCAGTTCATTTATATAAAGGCACTTTAGGAGTAAAACAACTTCTGTAATTCAGACTTATAGCATTCTATACTACACATTAAAGTGCATATCAAAATTTTACAGAAAACTATATGCAGATGTTACACATCTCATCAAACCAGAGTGAGGTTACCTTCTAAAGACAAATCTTTTCAGAGCTGAGCAGAGGTCAGCAAAGACCAACCAACTATCTGGTAATTGCTTTACAGGGCTTCCCTCCTTCCATCAGAGAGATTTTTTTGCTCATTGCTCACAACAGATTGATTGCATCTCATCAGACATCTTGGTTTATTTCTAAAAATGCTGTTGATTTGGGTGAGAGAACTTCAGATTTTCTTTTAGAATTAACATAACTGTGCCTAAAACAACAAAGTAGAGATGTGATTAAATTAATATAATTACAATCATAGCATAATTACTCAGGTTACAGTAGGAAGCAATGAGTCTTTTAAATATCTTCTCCATTATACCACCCTGCTCAATTTTCTCCATCCCTAACTTCTCTCACTATTTCCTTCACTAGCTTTTTTTCCTCGCAACCTTAAAATGCCTTTAAGTGCCCAATCACCACTTCATTTCTCATTGACTACTCCTAAACATCAATGGAAGCAATATCCTTTTTCCAAATGTTGTTCCCCTCACCTTGAGTCACTTGTCTAGTATAAAAATAAAAAAAAGAGAGCTTGGATTATTCTCTCTTCTAAGGCAGCAGTGATTGTTTAGTCTGTCCTTCCCAAACCTTTCCAACTATCTGCCTTTGATGCTGTCCTCAAGAGCAAACTGCATTTGAAGCTTTTTTTCTATATTCTGGCTTTGTATCTTCACAGAGCCTTCTTAAGGCTCTGTGCTTTCAACTCTACATTTTTTCACCCTAATCTATGCTTGTTTCAGATTGGCCCATCAATTTCATGCAATTAATGTAAACGTATTGCAGTCCTCAACTTAGGTTTGGTCTACAGTAGAGGTTTTGTGAATTCAGCTAAGGTAGATCAGGAATGTGATGCTGAAGTACATTGACTTTTCTTAGAGTATTTCAAAGGTAGAATATTCTTCCAGATTCTGCTGCTAACAACTTCATATTAAGAACTCAGTTCTACTTCTTGACTACTGTTCATCAGGCTCAGACTTACTAAAATCCATTAAATCCCATGTAAGGAAACTCTTGTTTTGTTTTTGCAGTGCTAGATACTGCACTTTGAAAGAAAAGGAGAAAGTACCATGTCCTGCATGAAAGCGAAACAATCTGAGAGTAAACACCGTCTCCAGGATATCTAGTCATCTTAACACACATATACTGATTTTTCTCCTCACTTCCCTGCCAGAAGGCTTATGACTATTTCAAAGAATCATAGAATGGCTTAGCTTGGAAGGGATCACCCAGTCCCAAACCCCCTGCCATGGGCTGGTTGTCACCCACCAGCTCAGGCTGCACAGGGTCACATCCAACCAACCTTGAGCACCTCCAGGGATGAGGCATCTGCTTATCTACACAGCCTGTGCCAGTGCATATTTCCATGTTGTCACTATGACTATTGTTCAGACCAGGATTAATTTTCTCTAAAACGAACCTTAAAAGCTTCCTTTCTCATAATTTTCTTCATTCATACAGTTTAATCATGCTCTCTCTTCAAAGTTCCTCAGCAGGAACTCTAAGTTTGTCATCGGGCAGAGGCTATCATACTGTTTTTACCCTTCCATCCTCATATTATTCCTCATGTAACAAATTTAGAAGCATGCTGTTCAATCCTGATAATACAAATTCCTGTAATTCAAAATATTATTTATCACAAACACCACAGTAAATATAGAAAGCTTTATTCTTCTACTGCTGACTTTAAAAACAAGCTAACATTAATACAAACCTTTTCCATATGCTCTTCAGATCAGAACTGCCATGTATTTATACTACTACTGCTTTTAATTCGCAGTTCTGTCTTCTCTCACTCAAACCCAACCTCTGCCTTGCTTGCTATCTACATGCAAGTCACTTTACACAGTTCTGTAAAGCATTATCTCATTATTCTGTCTCTCGCTATTGAGCATTTTCAGACCCTCTGTGTGAAAGATGAGATATAAAAATAAATTGAATTGGAATACATGATGCTATGTCCTGAACTTAAATAGGCTATACTCACAGTGCATATGTAATTTGACAGCTACAGGCTATGCTTTCATGATATACACCAAAAGGATTTATGCAAGTGATTTAAAGTTCTAACCATTCTGGGTAGTCTGACTAGACATTAAACTCACAGTTGTGTAATCTCAAGTTGCTGTTAACCAATTTGACAAAGAAAAACAAATAATTATTGTGATGGTTACTACTCACCAGAGTCAACCTTCAAAGTCCAGCGCTTCCATAAATGTTCTTCCCTTGCCTATGATACCTTGGTAGGAGCTCTGGCAGCTGCCTTCATTGTGAGAAAGCATTGCTAAAACAATTTCTGCCAGACAAAATCAACACCAAGATGTTTTGGAGAATTTCTAAACAGGAAAGCTGTGTAGTATGGAGCTCTGAGTGTTGACTTTGATCAAGCTGGTCTAAAGAAGGGAGGAAATGTTAGTTACAATTTCTATTTTCAAAAACAGCAAAGAGGGAAGAACTGAAAATGAAATTCGACATAAGGAAAAGGCAAAGCGCCATCTGACAGTCTCAAAAAATCCACAAAATTCTCTTTTTTTTTTTTTTTTTTTCCAATTAGCATTTCAACTTGTTTAAAATAAGGACATAAAGATAAAAGGAACTTTATGCATCTGATCCTTTAAAAGCGATTATTTGAATACTGTAAGAACAGAAAGCATTACATCCTATATCATTATTTAAAAATTTAAGACACATAGTTTCTCTTTGAGGAAAGGCAATAAAAGAATACATCATTAGAAGTCATTCCAATTGCTCTAAATTTAGCTCTCTGTGCAAAAGCTGTGGTTTTGCAATTACATCTCCCCATGTGTTTTTTAAACACAGAAGTAAACAGTCATGAAAAATAAATAATGAATGTGTCCCACCTTGTTTATTCCTTGAGTTAAGAATAAAGAAACCATTATGATCTGAATCCATCTGATCAGAATTAAATCAGAAACGGCTAATAAAGATTTTATTTTTTTTAATTAAATAATGAAAAAAAACATTGAAGTGGGTAAAATCGTAAACCATGGCCAAATAAGACTCAGGGACCAACCATGTTTTCTGTGAATGCTCAGTTCCACAGCATACCTCTTCCTATAACAGCCATAATAATGGCTTAACTATGAATCTGCTTATTAGTCTGCACATAATTCAAGCCCTGGGATCCACATTAGTTCTTGAGTATAGCAATCATTATTTTGGCTGCGGTATTGCTCAGAATCATAGCCACACAACCATTTTTTTATTTTTAAACCCTTTGAAGAAACAATATTCAGAAAGCTCCTTAGTAGAGCTGCAGCTGTGCTGTATTTCCCAAAGCCAATCAGCCTCATGAGCCTAAAGACATGCTGTGCATGACCTGATGTGTTACTTCATGTACACGGAGATGCATGACTGGGAGTTCTTCAACTTGAAGGTTTAGACTGTAAAATAAGGGATATTTTCACACAGGAAAAGCCACTTGTTTTCACCTTCTTACTCAGTACAGCATCAGAAAATTGCGTTTTGTTCTCATGTTTTTTTCCCCCTCCAGACTTCAGTAACGTAATATTGGTAAAACTGTCTAATAACATAGGAAGAATTTATCTAAGAGCAAAAGCCATTTTGAAGTGGATTCAATCCTTTCACTGAACCTCCAGTAAAAATAACTTAACTGGGGTAAAACCTCGCATTTTACCTCAAGCCTTCATTCAAACGTTATTTATTCACAAGTGCAGAGCATCCTTGTAGTATATATTGAAGAATCCCAAATCAAATATTTTTTTAAAAAAGAAACAGATTATGTATGAGCTGGAAAATAGAAATATTCTAGGAATATTTATTGTAATTATCAGCCAATTTTATATTTCAATGACCTAGCTTTAAATTAGGGAGACGAGTAAAACATGCTATAAAAAAGCAATTCCATTTATTCCACTAATAAGTTGCAACCTGTTTCTGTTTTACAAGAGTGCACATAAATGGATTCAGTTAGCATAAATTATGTATGCATGCCTGAATGTTCATGAACCATTTCTAATGGCTTTAGGTTATTGAAAATCTGATACTCCAAAAGTTATCCATAAGTATATATGTATGGAAGCAGAACATTCAGCCCTGTGCCTTGTCTGTTTCTGCTTAAGAGTGTCTAGAAAAAAAAAACAAAACCAATTTAAAACTTCAGTTCTGGCTCTGCAAATGGGTGGTCTTTTAGTTTGCCCAAGGGCTGCTTTGAGCAAGATAGGATCCTCCTTCAGAGCCATGAGCACCACTGAGACTCGTCCTGCCGGCTGGATTTCCATAACCATCTGACAGCTTCCCAGGGAGATGAAAGGCTTTGAGGACATTTAGATAAGGAGGAAAGATGGTCTGGGGAAGGAACATGATAAAAGAGCACTGCTTGGACAAATTATATTAAAATACACTTGAGAGTTGCAAATAATGAAAGCACAACCTGAACTATTTGATTTCTAGCCATAATATAATAGTATTATCAGCTCCCCTTTAAAAATTTTGGGTCTTTATTTGGTAGCCTGAGTGCTGAAAAGATTGTTTAAAAATTCACCTCTGCAGTAAACACTCAAGAAAAAAATATACATATTCCTGGTGCTCTCCAGATAGCTGCATTGTCAGGGAGCTGCAAGCTTTATGCTTTCACTCTGTGCTGCATGCACCTTTCTCACAGCTTGGCCATGGATAAAATCAGAGCTGCTCTGCTCTCCATGGAGCAGACTGACAAATTCTTCACAAGTAGCCTGAACCTAAAGAAGATTCAACCTAGAGTCATAGCCTCCTCTTTTCCTTTTGACAGTCATTGGGATGAACAGCAGTGTTTACTCTAAGTTAAAAATCACCCACGCAATCTCAAACAATGGTTTGAGATTGACAAATACAGATGGACTCAGCAACTGCCAAACAAGCAGTCCTCCCTGTACTCTCAAAGAACTCAGCCATGGGCTTTTTTGTCTCACTTCTAGAACACTTCCTGTGCAGGAGATGTTTTCTTAGTATTTGTCCACATACTAGCAAACAATTATCACTGGTTGAGAAAAGGAATGCCAATGCAGAACAGACTACTTTAAGTAACACATTTCCTTTAAAACACAATAGTTACACTCTTTATTTAAAGCAAAACCAAACAACCAACCAAAAAACAAACAAAAAAACCAACAACCCTTGATTCTAACACGCATCAAGTCACAGGCTGAAGCAGAAATATGAAAGACCAGTGAGGAATTTGAATTATACAAAAGACTTGTTTGACTGGTGTGTGGGTGTGACAAAGAGGACAGCAGAAACACCACAAATGAGCAGATTTTTAGAAAGAAAATCCAGATGCACACTGGGCAAGTGTGGGATGCAGCACTGAGAGAAGCCCAGACAGTGCTATTGGGTTTGAGTACCAGCTGAAAACAATCTCCTGTCATTTGATCCTCCTATGCTCAAAGGTGCTTGGAACATCTCTACAATTGAACAGGATTACATGAAAGATATTTCTCTCCAACACTGAATTCTCCTAACTGGAATGAACTGGTCAGACTAACTCCTGAGTACTAAAAACCAGTTGCAATAGTTTTTGGTTAAGACTTATAGAGTTCTCATTAACAACATACGTGTCCAGGCAATTCGATGGTCGCTGTGTTTTAGTAGTTCAAAAATAAAGTTTCAAATTATACTTTTTACCAGGAAGCATTAAAAACACACGTTCCAAAGTAACCATAAAGTTTGATAACCCATTATGCTAAATAATATGTCTGGGGTCTAACCCATGCTGATGACTCAAGACATTCAATTGCTTCTCCAAAAACCTGCACTGCAAATAACCGCAAAGCTGTGGGCTATGCTGACTCCAGTATTAAGTATCAAGAACTTTTAACACAAGATCACAGTCCTAATCAAGAAGCTGTGTATGTTTAATGTAATTCTACCAGTCTAAAGTAAGGAGTTGGAACCCGATGATCCTTGGGATCCCTCTCAATCCAAGCCATTTTATGAACTCATTTATTTGAGGAACTTGGATGAAGGACAGATCCAGAGCTATACTCTAGGACACAACCTGTAATGCCTTGATGGATTATGCAGCAGAATTCTGAATTCACTGATCATTTTACATGAAAAAAGCAAGATTATTTAAGGCTGTGGACTTTAATTGATAGGTCAACTAATTAGCAAAATATGCTGCCAGGGGTGTTTTGTTGCCTGAAGAACAAATAATTGTATTGCAACATTTTAATGAACGAAGATAAGTGAGGGGACTGATGTCAACAATGCTTACTCCTGGGAGAAGACTAAGCTCTACATGTTTTCAGACACAAAATATGTGATCTGCTCCAGCAGGAGAATTGGATTAGATTGTCTTTCGAGGTCCCTTCCAATCCTTGGCTTTCTGTGATTCTGTGGCCAAGTCACCAGCCACTGTAATGCCAATTTTATCAGGTTATAAGAGCAGGACAGACAGGCAGTGCCTGGCAGTATGATGCCTAAGGTGCACCTAATTCATTTCCAGAGTCCAACTGGATCCATGCTCAGGTGTTCTAATGGAAAGATAAGTAGCCTGGCTAGTTTGCTTTCATGTTAAATATCACTTCTGTGTTGAGCAATGGCAAGAGGAGCAGCAGTGCCACACTGTGTCTACACCACCTGATGGGCAGGCAAGTTCTGAGCTGGACTCGATGCCACGCAGCTGCATACATTCTCTCCTTTTTCCTCTGCTTCATATTTCTGTTTGGCTTTGTTGACTGTAGATATGGAGCTAGCTCTTCTGCCAGTTTTAATGGATTTCACCCTGAAATCAATAGAAAAATACCCATCTGTAATAGCTACTAATTTAGTTCCTAATCTGTATAATGCCAGACGGGAAGTTTCCTTGGCTCTCTTACTTTGAGGGAAACAGTAAGAAACAGAAAAATGAAAAAGGGCAAGATTTATCTAGGAGGTGGCAGCAGCTAAACTGCTTCGGCTAATGCAGCTGCTGACATTTCCAGCCATTTGGTGCATTCCTCCCTAGGGAGAATAAAGCTGAAAGAAACTACTTAATATGAAACTACTGGATGTCCATTAAAAATCATTCTAGTGGTAAGATGAAGAGGCTCATTGGCAAAATACCCCATGTATAAATCTAAAAACAACATTAAAAGCCATCCAAAAAAACCAGCAGTTAAATAGATTCTTTCATACTGAGAACCAGCAGTACAGGAGACTAAAATGGATTCTGTAGGAAAAAAAATGACTCTTGATTTAAACTGATAAAGAGATTTCCCAGTCAACGTCTGTGTAATGCTAAAGAGAATGATTTTTTTTTATTATTATTTTTTTTGCACAAAACCCCAAGAGGTGTTAGAAATATGATTCAAAGAATGGCTTTAGAAGCAGAATTCAAAGAATCTGGGGGGATGGTAGATCACTTTCTTACATTACCACCTGTTATGAAGGATAACAAAGAAAAAAGAGCTTTACTCTAATGACGGATGGGATTTAAATGTTCTCTCTACTCAAGCAGTGTTGAAATTATGGGGGTAACAATACCTGATGGAAGGGAACCTTATTAAGGAATTAATGAAGCCATGGTGATTTATATAGAGAAAAAAGTTTCCTTTAACTAAACTATGAAAGATGATAGGTAGTCTTAAGAAAGGAAGCTTTGTGAGGTAGAAGCCAATGGTTCTATCTTATTCTAAGGAATGGGAACACAGCAGATGTCTCCCTAGATATGGCACTGTGTAGTGATTTTGGCTGGGATGGAGTTAATTTTCTTCATAGTCACTTGAATGGTGCAATGAATGGGAATTAGTAGCAATTCTGTAACCCTGCACCTTAATTGAACTTAATGCACTTCTGTATGGTAACTTCCCGGGAACCAAATCAAGGCCAATACTTCAGAACTCCAGGCTGTGCACAAAACTAGAAAATCCTATCCCCCAGAGCTCCAGCTCTGCAAGCATACCTATGATCTGGTCTTTCTTGGAGGTTAGCATTGGGACTGGGGAAACACTTCATGGAAAATGAATGGAAAAGTGCTCCTCGGAAGTCATATTTTGCCTTCAAAGAAGATACATCAATCAAAGTCCTAATTAATGCATTATCTCCCATCTAGACAATATAAAGTCAAGCAAAGTTCCCAATTTAAACAAATTTTTGAAGTGTGTGTTGCCTGCTGTCCTCCATTTAAGTCTTCTGCATATATGGTCAGGTTATTAGATCTAACACTTCTGTTTCATATTCATTTCTTCTGTTCACCACCTCTGTAACTGGATAGAAAATCAAATCATTTACCTCATTTTAAAAACTGGAAGTTAAGTGTTTTCCCTTGTCATATAAGCCTAAAATGAAAAGGTGAAAGACAAAAAAAATACTAAGTGAGGATCTCTGTCAACTTCTGTGAATGCCATTTAAGAAAACTGAACAGAAAATAGATATACATGGAGAAAAGGGTAAGGAAAACATTTCAATTCATTTTCAGCAAATCTGGTTTTCAACTTTTTTGTTGAAATGAAAGCACAAGTGACAACAACTCCATGCCTACGCTTGTTATTGCCTACTCAGAAATCAAGTGCTCTTTCAGTCAAGAATTGATTGTTGGAAAGAAAATAAACTGTCAACTGGTGAGGCTTATTATCAAGCTGGAAAGTGAGAAAGATTTGCTTGCTGCTGCCGCTGCTAGTTTACAGATTTCAAAATGGCTTTTAAAAGCACTTTGTTTTGTTTTGTTTTGCTTTTTTGCTGTGAAGCTTGAAGTAGTTCTCTTAGAGGAATAGCATGTAAGCAGTGCAACCAGGTCAGAATGGAAGAGCACCACAGGTTGGTTTTTTGTTGTTGTTGTTGTTGTTGCTTTTCCTCTTTTTAAGAGTTCTCACCTCTGTAACTGACACAGCATAGTCCAACAGGAAGAAAAAAAAAAAAAGAGATTCAAGAAACTTCAGTTCTTCTTTCAGCTCTGTCAGTGACCTGTTTTTACATCATAGGAAATTTGCTTGAGTTTTCCATTCTTCAGTTTTCCCATCTGTAAGACATGGCTGTTTTATTTCCCTTCTAAGGACACACCAGGAGGTCTTAGATGCTGTCTATTTACACAAGCCAACTTGCAATAAATCAGTTTGGCATTTGATCAAACCTCAAGTTCTCTACCCCCTGCAAACTGCCTCTGAGCTGTAGCCCCTTTCCATCCTCTGGGCAGCAGTTGCTCTTTTCTTGTTTTTCACAGCACCCAGAATGGGACAAATGAAGATTTTTTTCCCATTCACAGCTTTTCGTGTATCAATATATTTGCAGCACTAGAAAAACACTATGTGAGTCCCTGATTTTTCTGACATTTTGCAGCTTTAAAGAGTCTGCAAGGTTTCCTTACACATTCAGAAAAAAACTGTACAAGAAGTGCTTACTTTGTTTGGGCAGCTTTTCAAGATTTTTCAAAAGTGAATGCTAAATGTGAGCATTAAATAATCCCTAGGTGTGACCCTTCCAGAGGTGGCAGAAGTTGGGGAGTGAACACACACCCCAAACCAAAATGGATTAAATAATATTAATATATTAAATTAAATAATATTAAATAAAATAATATTAATTAAATTAATTAATTAAATTAAATAGTTGCTTGCAGTGTCAACTCACTGCATCTAGTTTCAGAGGAATTAGGCTGAAGAGGAAAGAGAGGAAAAAGAAGAGGAGAATGGGTTTAATCCCAGAATGAAGAAATGAATTCACTTTATGTCTGAATCAGAGCTGGTCAGGGAATTCCAACAGGGCATGTTTATTTGGGAAGTGACAATTCATGAAGCAAGAGCAAATCATAGCCACATGCCTACTTCAAGGAACCTCTACTTAGTAAAATAAATAAATAAATAAACAACAAAACAAAACAAAAAAAACCCAGTCAGATAGAAGAGTGCCTTATTTCCAGCCAGGATACTTCTCTATAGTGCTGTGAAAGCTTGGACTTCCATGGCCCCAAACTCTAGGATTGTTCTATTCTGCAAATAACACTTCCCTTTTAGATCCTATAGGTCTCAGGTCAAGCACCAGGAGGCTGGGTGCTCAGAGCTTCCTGTTGGTATAAGATTCACTCATGCCAAGTAACAATAGACTATTACATTGATTCCTCAAGGATTCTCATGTTTTCCAGACCCCAGGGATATGTAGCTGGCATCAATGGGAAGTCTGACAGAGTCAGAAGAGCTAACTGTTACTTTGAAAAAAAGTAAAATACTTTGACTTTTATTACTTATGTTTTTAAGACATTGAAATCCCCTTCCACCTCTACAGGAATGTCAAATTTTGCATATTTTTCCAGGTTGCTTGTAAACAACCCATTAAATGCACCAGTAAATAAATCTACATGAGTCCAGGTTTGTATGAGCAATTCTCCAGAAGAATTCACATGTGCTAGAAATAAAATTTTGTTTGCAGAACTCTTAATTTGCACCAGTAGGATTACCAACCCATATGTATTAAACACACAGAAGGAAGGGCAGATATTCCCCAATAAATTACATTCAGAGTGAATGCCATACAAACTTTAAGTTAAAGATCAGTTTGAACTCTGAAGGTTAAACAAAAGCTTCTTGGCCTGCTAGCAACTGTCACACAGATATGAAATTCTTTGTAGGGTAAGCCCTAGAGAAACTACAGAATGCTTACAGCATCCCACTGTGTTTACTGCTTGGTTCTGGCTCTCTCAGCACTACTACAGCAGGAGACTACAAATATTGCTGTTCTAAAGAAGTCAGAGCAATGGGGGCTGAAGCAAAAACTATTTTGAGTGATGTGACTAATAACTCCAAAAAGATAGTGGCAATTCCATTACATTAATTGCTAGCAGAACAGATTTCAATGAGAACTATACACAAGGGTCTACATATTAGTTAATAATTTTCCAAGGTTATACTAACACTTAAAAGAAACCTTCTAGATAATTAAAGGTAATTGACCTAGGGTCAGTATTCTTATTAAACAGCTACAGAAAAAGAAATGCAGAAAAGTTATTTGCATAGACCAGATTAATAAACATATGAGTCAGTAGCAACAGAAGATGATATGCAGAACACTATTCAGGAGAATGTGCTGGGAAAAATAAGACACAAAGTTGTACCACCAGATTCAGTCTAGTATGCTGTTTTTTTATGCAAGAGATTAAATAACATTATAAATGAAAGAACAATATCAAATGTAGAAATCAGAATTCTTAGAGCTAAATTGCATCTAGTCTGCTGTGCAGATACTTAATGCAGACCTTCACTGAGTGATTCAGCAAGAAGCAAACCATACAGTGGGTTGCACCAAAGATGCATTTATTCTGGTATCTTGTCTCTGATAACACCAGAATGGATACTTAAGGGAAGGACATGAACAGAAGCAAGCGTATGGTATGCCCTGCAAACTCTAAGCAGACCTGCAGTTTAGATACTTCCTCTGAACTGCAGGCTGGCCCCAAATCAGTGTCTTTAATGGGTCTTTATGAACTACTCTTCCCTGGGTTTATCTAATCACTTTAAGAAACCATTTATATTTTGGCATCTGCAACATCCTGTAGCAATGGCTTCCATAATTTAGTTAAGTGCTGCCTGGTCCCTTCACTTGTTTTTTTTTGTCTAGTGAGAAATAATAAATAATCACTATATTTTCACTTTCTACACACCACTCTTGACTTCACATGACTCCAATATACCCTGCTTCCTCACATTAGTCACCTTTTCTCAAAACTGGAAAGATCTGACTTACTGAACCTCTCACACTGAAGCCATCCTAACAGTCTGATCGTCACCTTCTTTTGCACCTCAACAGCTTCCAGCTCATCGTTCTTGAGATGGGACAGCTGGAATTGCACAAAGTATTCAAAATGGGGCCACACCATTTATTTTGTTCTGAAGAGAACACCAAGAACACCATGCATAATCTAATGTATTTTACAATGTGCCCCTGTTCAGCTGGCACAGTATTTCTCTGATCTTCGCACATTCTGCCCTCAGCACAGCTCTGTGCTTTCCACCATCCCTTCATCTGATGGCAGCACATCTTTCTCTGTCTCTCCAATTTCTTTTGGCTTCTGATACCAGACAGAAAGTGTCTTGCTCCATCTCCCTACAGAATTGGAGGACTCAGGGGCACATTTTCCTATATACAATATTCCATTTATTTCCCACGTTTATCCACTGCATAACATTTATTGTTGCTTTCCTTTATCCTGTCTCTCTCCTTATTTAGCAGCTAAAACCAGTTTCACTTCATAAACAATAACTGCACACTTTTCCAGCCTTTTAAATCAAGTTTTTGTACATCTGATACCACAAGGCACTTTGCCTAAAGAAGAAATGCTGAGTAAGACTTATTTGGGCACAATTCTCACACGTACAGCTGTGTAAGTTAGATACCCAAATTGTGAGCTCAACTATCACTACTTCTCACAACCATACGAGCAAAGCAAAGTCACCCTCAGGAGCAGATCCGTCTATTGCAAGGGTCAAATTACCTTTGCGGATATTCGTATCTCATTGACTATATTGAGAATCCAGGACACTTAATGTTCCTAAATTTAACAACTCAGTTAAGTGAGATGATGCTGGGAATTTACATTTCTAGGACAAAACAGTCTGGGGTTAGGTGAAAACAGAACAGCAGCTAAATATCCAAGCCTGACTGCCTCCACCCCAATACCCTTGACTCTATAAAGCCAACGACTGAAGTTCTTAAAACACCTTTTCCTAAGTAGATTTTACATAGCTGAAGTCAAGCCATGGAAAAAGTGCAGTACATTGTACCACGCAAAATTTCCAGGGTGTTGTTTTCTTCTGGGAATGATTGCCAAATGGGACAATTCACTGAAACTTCAGCTATCATGTTTCCCTGTTATTCCTATAAACTTTAACAAGATAGGCATTTCAAAACAGCCTATTTCATATCCAAAACACTTCCTCATGACATGCATTTTGAACAGCACATATTCAGAGCTCTTAGAATAAGCAGCAAGCTTTCCTCTTTTTTTTTTCTTCCCTAAATATTGCACAGTTCTTACATTTGAATTTCATTTCTTTTCTTGGTTTCTCAGTCTTCCAGTTTTACTTTAATGCAATTGCCTAGCTGTTAGCAGAATGCTTATTGCCAACTGTTTCCTTGAACCAGCCTCATGCTTCAGATCGACACAATAAAACCAAACCTCAATGCTGTCTCTCAGAAAAAGATGCAGAAACCAATTGGCTGCAATTAGCATTTGTTTCATTTTTATTTTCATTTCTTTTTTTTTTTCCCATCGTGACTGTAAACCAAAATAAACCAAGCAAAGGGAGTGAAACCACAAACAGCTATGTTCATGTAAGGCTTCAGAGGAAGCATCCAAGATGCAGAATACAGTTTCCAAGCAAAGGAGCCTAATCTTTCAACCATGTCCTGTGATACCTGAGAACGCATTTGACTGCAAAATTTAATCTGTGGATCTAGAGTATCAGTTCTTCCAGATAATAGGGCTCTGTAGAAAAATATAAACAGGGAGGCAGGGAAAGGATGAGAAGAAACCCATACTGGTCAGAGCAAGAGTTGGGGGGCTCAACAATGCAGAACAACAGCACTCAGCAAAACTTAAAATCATTCAAACTAGATGGATCATCCAAAAGATTTCCAGGCAGATACTCCATTAAAATGCTTTTTTTTTTTTTTTTTGTATTTTGGATATGAGGTTGAACAATCATTTTGCCTAGCTATTCTAGGACTACCCTTATCCATCTGGTAGTTGTTTACATTGCAGATCTTGCCATTATTGTGAGCTACACTGGATTTACTCAAAGATAATTATCATACATCCCAAAACATAATTAAAAAACAAACAAACAAAAACCTCTTAATGTTTACCCATATTCCTTTCCCAAATTGATTCAGTTAATTTTTTATTCTACTATTACCTTTTGCCAAAGGGAATTTGTACTAGAAATGCGCTAGAAACAGGGCTGAATAATTCAGTTTATTCACAGAGAAGAAATTGCAGCATGAGCTTCCCCAGTACACTGATCCCATGAAGGCCCCTATTGGTGCACCTTTAGCTGCCTTGTTTACAGTAACAACAAATGGCAGGTCTTGTGAGAAGTGCAAATATTTACTAGAATTTATTTCAGACAGATCGCGTCATGCTGTGCATTGAAAGAAAAGCAACATTGCTGGAAAGCTCTATTATGCAAGCACTACCAAACCAGTTCTATATTTATTAATGCTGTTGTGTCATCAGGCATAAAGTAAGAAAAGTCTCTCGCTCACTTGCAAAGATATTACTTGCTTTGTTAACTAAACCACTGCTGCACTGGCATTTATTTTAGAATAACAAGAGTGGTTAGAAGAGAAACATGGAAGTGTGACTAGAGTTTCCCTGTTAGGATGCTGAATGCTGAGGCTAAATTTCAGAGAATTAAGACAGTGCAGGCTCACAGTACAGGCCACTGCTAGGACACCTCCAAACAGCGGTCAGTGCTTTGTTATAGAGCTTGTAATCAAGGTAATAAAATCTATGGCTGTGTTTTTCTTTGCTTTTTGAAGTGGTGTCAATGGTTTTTGGGCTGGTTTGGCCCAGTTCCGTGACTGGTATGGCGGAGGGATTTCACAAAATCTGCACCTCCGGAAAAAAAGGGATCAGGGGACCCCAGAATAATTAGAAACAGTGGCAATGTTTTCTCTGAGGAGAAACAAACTAATTACTAAATATGGTATCGGAATGCAAGATAACACACCATAATTCGAATTGAAGCTAATAAATCAAATACAATGAGAGAGAGAGAGAATGTCCAAAAGGTGGATAAGGCCTCACCATAGCACTGATGTGAGATGCGCAGTTCAGTTGAGCAGCAGGGAGACGGGAGGAGAGACGATGAAGAAGAGCGGAAGAAGTAGAGTCCATCTAGTGACCTTGCCAGGAGTTCTGTCTCCTCTCTGTGACTGCAGAGTCCCCTGGGGAATGTAGTTGCTCTTCTCTTCCAGGCAGGTCACCAGATCTTGAGCATTAACAGTTAAACTCCCAGTGCCCCACATGATGTCATGATGTGGAACACTGAAAACCAAAAATCACAAAACCATGACAAGTGGTTTTATTAACTGTAGAAAAAATGATCTTTTCACATACCAGTTCTCAGCACATATTCTTCCCTGGTGTCTATATATGACCTGTACACAATCTCTGGATTCATACCATCATGCTGACCAAGAGACACTACACACAGAGCAAAGAAGTGGTTTGCCCTTTGTGAGTTTTTGTTTTCCCTCTCAATGAATACGTTATTGATATCAGTAATGAGACAAGAACATCTTCACCCTTTCATTCCGGTTTGGAGTATTCAATGAGTAATGCCATGTGGCAAAGTATGGCATTCCATTGGTCTTTCTGGCTGTCCTGTGCCATCACCGGTAGCCTTTCATTTGAGGCATTTGTTTTATAACTCAGCCTTTAAAAGGACTCAAAAGACCTCTCCTCCTTACTACTTCTGTCCCCAGATCCCACTGTACCCAAATCTCATGAAGTCATGTTCTTTCCCCTCAACTTTTCTTTACAGGCTGGCAACATTTTAACCTGCTTACCTATTGGAAAATGAAATGTATTCCTTCTGCTTGCACTTTGGAAAAGGGTATCTGAAGGAACAGAGTCAAAGATGGCATTTTCTGAAACTTTTTTTTCATGTGGCCATGTGTATAAGAGGTTCCTTTATGTCTGAATTTCCCCAGAATCACATTCACATTCAGAATTCACAACATATCTGGCTATAGACATTTGAGCATGGCTTGACAGGTCTCCTCCAAATCAGCTTTGTTCAATGTTGCACCCCTCCCAGAACCAGCCCAGCTCATTTCTCAGTACTCTGAGCCCTTCTGGGAGATGCCTGGAGGTCTGCCCATGATGTGCTGCCTTCACCAAGTCAGTCCTCTCCCAGCAGCACGCATCACTAGGCAAAAGCTGAACTCTTGGCTGAAAACAGAAATCTGTTTTCAACTCCCTTCCCATTTCTACCCCATCAAGATACTGACTCAAGTATATTTGGATTAAACATAGATTTCAAAAAGCAACTCAAAAAGATATAATGAAAAATGTGACTTTTTACACAACCTGTTAATTTTTGCTGTCTTTATGTTAAAAGACTTTTCACAATTGGCTGAAGTCCAAGAAGTACAAAATCCAACATTAGAAGGTATGTAGGGAGAGCACAAGAGATTATAAAAAGATTTATAATTGAGAAGGTAAATGTGTCCATTCACCAGGCAGACTAGGCTTGCAGATGAAAGAGCCTTACTAAAATAATTGAAAAATGTAAGCAGCACGATCGAGTTTGGAGCAGATCTTTGGACACACTCTACAATGATTACAGCCATGGAAATGTGCCAGCCATAACAATAACTGAAGTCAGATGAGGGATGGATGCAGACAGCCCTGCTCGTACAGTCTGGCTCTTGCACACTGCACTGATATTCGTTCTGATCTCAGCGGGAAAGCATGTGTTTGCAGAGCTGGCTTGGGCTGCTCTAAGTTAAACTCTTTATTAAATCTTCTAGTTGGCAGTAGTCAGCAACAACTTTCAAGCATGCTAAAAAAGTTTATTTTTGAAATCCAGATTTATACAGTGGAGCGCAGCACATGTTTTCTGAATCAACGTTGCCCCCTCCTCCTTCCCTGTGGAGAACAGAGCTGCAATTTTTCCAGAGCTGGTTGAGATTAAGACTCCAGCCCCCCTTTCAAAAATTCTAATTTTCAGCTGGCTCTGATTCCTGCAGCGTAACCATTTACTACTACTGGCACTGCTCTTAATCTAAGTTTTCATTTTAGATCAGCCCATGGTCAAATGATACATCTCATTCTGGATAAAGAAAAAGAAAAGGTGCACACAAAGAGTTGAGGCTAAAGCTACCCAAGTGCAGGCTGCCGTGGATGACTACATCTACAGAAGTGCTAATTGCTTCACATCCTGAGTTGGCTTACATTAGACAGAAATATCCAACTGAATTTCATAAGGGGACTTTTTTTTTTTTTAAAGAGTTGCAATGCTTGTCCTGAATCTTCTGAAACTGCCATGCTAAGGATGAGAGTGCCTCTGCGAGAGCAGGAAGGATGCTCTGTGCAGCACTTGGCTCTCAATCTGACAATGATTTTATATCATTTTGGTATCAATGCAGTACAGCTGAGAGATCTGGCTGGTCACAGAACTGCAGCAATTCCCTTTACCAACATCATGCTTGAAAATAGTTTTTGGTACAGCAGAAGGCAGCGGCACTCTGCAAGGCACCCTGCAAGGCCTGGGTCCAGGAGAGCTGCTCTCACTTTCCCTGAGCACCTGCATGCAAATCATAGAATCCAGTTGGAAGGATCCCTTAAATGCAATCTAGTTCAACTCCCCTGTAGCGAGCAGGGACAAAGCCATGCTGATCTGCATGCTGATCTGCATGGTCTGAAAGCACATCAGCTAATCACAGCACTTACAGGTTATCTATGCCTCTAATTGCAACAAATTTCTTTTGTAAATCACTTCAAACTACATACATTTGATCCTCTTTAGAAATAACCAGAACTTTTACAATCATTTTGCCAACACTGAAGGAAGATCTCTTTCAAATACCTGTAAAATGTATCTGTATCCCACTGAATATCAAATTTCAATGGGAGTTCACTCACACTGCCAAAAAAAAATCTAGAAAAGTTGCATTACTGACTGGATTAATTACTAAAAGTATCGTATGACATATCAAAACCACTGAATGCATAACTTTCCAAAAAATGGAGGTGATGATTGAACTTCTGGAGGCTCACATTTAACCAGCTATTGTCTAACTAAAGCACTATACATCAATGAAGCCAATTTCTGTCATAAGAAGCAATGGGGCACACACAAAGTTTAACATGAAAACTTTTGGCAATAGAGTATTTATAAAAAAACATACAGCCATGCAATTTTTAAGCAAGCTGAATTAAAAATAAATCTCAGACAACTTGTCAGCACCTATAAACATAGACAAACTGACCTCTCCTCCACCACTCACACACGTTCTTGCCAAAAGAAAACTACATACAAAAATGAAACAATTTTAAAACCTATCTGCCAAACCCACAGGGGGAATTCAGATCACTGTTTCTATCTATAAATGTCAATAGGCAGGAGCTTAAAATATAGAACACTTAATGCTAGTGTCAACTGTTAAAATCAACTCCATAATTTCAAAACTCTCACTCCACTGCTCAATTATATATTGCAGCCAAATTCATTCTGAGCTGAAACCTCGTGCATTGTTCTGACTTTTTTTTGTAGTTTTGGTTACTAAGACATTTCCACTAAAAATGAAGAGGGAATTAGAATATGGCACTGAGGGACATGGCTTAGATAGCATGGTCGGCATGGGTTGATGGCTGGACTTGAGGATCTTAGAGATTTTTTCCAGCCTTAATGATATGATTCTGCAGCAAGTAGTATATTTTAGTTTCCATGCTGTTATTTTGTAAAACGAAAGTATTGTCTTGAAATACACAGCTTATGCTTGCAGTTCAATCAATCAAGGAATGACAAAATATATTGACAAGATTTGCAAGAAATCCTTTTCCATTGCTGTGCCCTACTGGGTTCCATAAGACAGCGACATAGTGCGAAGAGCTGTAAAGTTTACAGCCTTTCAGGCTGAGTGTTTTCTGCCAAGCACAACAGCAGTCACACCAATATATCAGAGAACAGAAAGAATTATCCCTACTGCTTGTCCAGTGTCAGCGTCTCTCCCTGGGATAGTGAATTTCCTCCCTTTCTCCCATTTTTTTTTTAACTCAAAGCTTGTGATTAGATTAGTATTATGTGCAATCATGTACCTGACAACTTAAAGTCTTGCATTCATTGTTCTTTGTCCCTTAGGGTGAGTTTACAGCTAACCTAGCTAAGAAAATGCTCTTCTCTCATGTGAAAATTACTTTATGCAATACACAGACTTCAGTGATGCACTGAGAAACAACCTAAGAGTTAGTGACACCCCTGAGAGAGCAATTCATTGCTCTCCCAGACACCACAGAAAGAGCAATTTACTGGGTTCTTGGACGGTGCTGACACATTTCCTCCTTGGAATAAAACAGGCCAATGGCCCAGCCTCCAACTTGCAGTCAGGATGTCCTTTAGTTTGCATTAAGAAAATAAAAAGGTCAGGTATAAGATAAGTTCATAGATTAAGTTTTCTTATAGTTACGTAATAGGTGTGAATGGGGAAGACACTACCAAGCTATGGAGAGAGCATTCAATGACCTTCGTTTGAAAGAAAAGTTGCCAACTTGGAAATCTCCCCACAATTATTTCAATTGTACACATTTTAACACTTTTCTTGAGAAAAGATACTGGAAGAGATTCCAAAGGGATTGTTCTAAAAAGAGGAAAATGAGAAATAAAGTACAAGAAGGTCTCTGCTGAATCAACTATAACTGTAGCAATACATCATGAGAAAGAAGAGCAACAGGTTTTACACCACTAAATTTGTTTGATTTTAAATAATGTAACACTCATGTAGCTACATTGGAATGCTACTCCCACTGGATTTACGCTGCACTTCTGCAAACTCATATGAGAAGATATACAAAATAGGAAATGTTCTTGGACAGAAAGTTTAGCTTTTCACTCAAAAAAACAAAAAACAAACAAAAAAACCCAAAAACCACTGTGGTTTCCCATAAAAATCAAGATCTTTAACACAAAAACATAGCCTGTTTCTTTTGTGCTATTACAGCTTCCGGAAACAAAACAGAGAATGCATAAATTGTATTTGGAGAAGTTTGAAGAATGTAATTTAACTGATGTATGTGATGGGATCCCTACTATTCTAACAATGCTTGCAGTGTTTTGATGTACAATGTATCCTTAAAATAGATGAAGGAGAACATGGGAATTTTATATATAGGTGTATTTTATATGCTTCATGGCACAAAGGTACAACTTCACTAGAAAAATACTGGATTCACCACTAACCTCTGCATGGCTATATGTATCTTGACATTCTTGCTGCCATCAGGTCCTTACTGGTCTTGGATAACAGCTGGCACCTTAAACAAATTCAGATCCTCCTCCGTGTTCCCGTGCCTCCTCAGGAGAAGGCTGAATCTGCAGACATCCAAATGTCAAGAAAGCCAAGAAGGGTTACCAAATGTTTAGTACACTTAGTGGTCACTGCCAGGTTTTGGCAGTGTGATTGATGTTGAAAGAAAGATTCACGCGCTCAAAATGATCACCTTGAAACCAGCTGAGAGAATTATATAGCAAGTAACAGTGCAGTGAAAGGACAAGAAGGAAAAGAACAAAACAGAACAAGAAAGCTAAGCTCCGTTTTCTTAAAATCTTAAAATCTTCCTTGCCACATAGGTGACGACTATGGACTGAACCTTGAGAAACACCCTAGGACTCAGAGCTCATTTGTCTTTTGTTCCACATCATGCTAAAGAACCAGGAATACCATATTAGCAATGTCTTCACTTGACATCTTCTGCCTTCATGCACTCCTGAAGAACAGCCAACATTGTCCAGAGCCAGCTCTTTTCAGACAATTTAGATATTAAAAAAAAAAAAAGCACACTATACACTATCACACTATGCAGACAGATGGCAATTAAGCCAGTAGGTGCAGATCAGAGCAAAAAGTAATTGATGGTAGAAAGCATTCACAAACCAGGTTCAATATTTTCCCTAAAAGAAGGAAGGGAAACATTGCAAAGAAAACACATATAATCCATTATTCAAATACAAATTATGACTACCCAGTTACCCTTACGTGAATAATTGTTCAAAGAGATGCAAATACTGTAGTATTTAGGTACACTTTCTTCTTTGGCACAAGTGGCTTCTCGAAATTAATCAAGTAATGAAATGTTGCCATTCTGATGGTTTCATTTTTTCATTTTGCCCTTCTCCTTAGTGTATGCTTCGAGAAACAGAACTAAAAAGCCCACCACCTTTATCCAGCAATTTTGTGCCAGCACAGATCTAAAAAACAAATTCACTGTCTCATAAGTAAACCGTTTCATTTATTGCTGTGAAATAAAATGTTGAGTTTCTCTTGTCATCTTTGGAAAATAAACGAGGGCTGCTCCAAAAGTACTTTTCTGTGAAAAGAAAATGTTTCCTCTACTTTCAAAAAACAGAGGAAGGCAGTTGGTAGAAACTGTTTTTTGTTGGTTACACACGAGCAGATCCAACAGAAGCCCAAGAGAATCCTAAGTATGGCAATCTACCGTCTTCCTATAGAGCAACTTTTGGGATGAGGACAAACAGTTTGAAAGACAGATGGCAGAAGTTTAGCAGCAGCATCAGAGATACAGCTAATCAAAAGCATATGTCTTATCAGTGACATAAACTATCAGACTGTGAACCTTGTCACAAATAAATCAGTACAACCAAAACATTTCCAGAGCTGAGGTAGGATGAGACTTTTCTAGAAGATCACCACCACTTCCGAGGAGGGAAACACAGAATCCAAGTCCAGGCCATTACTTGGAAAACAAGTTGTAGGCTTCATTAAACCATTCAAGTTTCTTCAGGTTGCCAAACTCAACTTGAACTTTTACTAAGAAAGACTCTCCAACGCCCTTGCCATGATGGATCATCTTTAATGCTGAAATAAGATGGTGAAGAGTGGGCTATAAAAGCTGAGACAGGGTTAGATAGATAGGCCAGGCTGGCATGAAAAACTACAAGATGTCCTTTTATTCTCTGCCAGAAATAACAGAACCTGAGAACCAATGCAATTACAAATATCACAAAAAAACAGCATTTCCAGAAGGAAAACAGACCTACTTATTAAAAAATAACACAAAGTAAGTATTGCACTATTATCTCCTTTAACATCACCAAACACCACAGATCTCCATTTGCTTTAAAATGGTGCTTTTCAGATTTTTTCCTTGGTCCTGCAGGACTTCCAGACATATTGATAAACGAAAGTGGACCGACTACTCTGGCACCTTGGCATGCAGTCATTTAATACAAAGACACTTCCTAACTTGTGCAAAATTGAAACATTTGTTTGAGAATAATTAGTGCCTTAGCCCAAAAATGTTTGGCAGACTTTTCTAATTAGTTGAGAAAAATGATCGAGGCAGGCAGGCAAGTAAGCAGACTTTTTCAGGCGTTCTGTGAAAATAATTTGGACCACACACTTGGCTGCAGAGCCAGATAACGTATGTCACTCTTTGCTATCTTAACAGGTAGGATAAAAGGAAAAACAACAACAACAAAAATAACAACAACAACAAAAAAAAAACACCCCACCACAAAAACATAAGAACAAGAGCCAGCCATCTGGCATATGAAATCTGAATTGAAAGGACTTTTCACTTCTGCTAATGTAGCTCTTCTGCTTTCTGAAGCACAGTGATCAAGTCACACTGTGTTAGGCCCCAGCAAATTACTTATTTGCCTTTGTATTTCCTATTGTACTGTAAGAACCAGAGCTGAAAATATTCATTGTGAGTCACAGGCTGTGCAGGCCCCAGAACAATATTTGCAGAGTATTCACGCTGGGATAGCCAACTGTGTTTTCTTTCTCCAGGGATGTTTTAACGTGCAAGGCATGTTCAAGGCAAACCGGGATCAGGACAATATCAAATCACCACATGCTTTAGTAGGCTGTGCAGCTTCCAGACACGTTTCCTTTCTGAGATCCTTCCAGAAATTAGTCTGCTAGCAAATGAAAACTCAAGTTGCCATGTCATTTAACTGTACCTAATCAAATTTCAAGGAATTAGTTCAATATATGGCAATGTAACTGCTACTTCAAGCACTTACTACTTCATATACTAATGCAACTAACTCAGGCACGTGGTATAGTTAAACTTTTTGACATCCAGGCATATCAGAACTTCTTACCTCTGCATTTTACATTATTTCAGTTTAGGGAGTAATCAAGGGAGAGTAAGTTTCAGGTTAAAAAAAAAAAAAAAAGATTCTAAATGAATCTATAAAGCGAATAAGCTGGTCAAACCATTAGATGTAAATGGATATATTGTGATTTAAATGCAGATTTATGAAATAATTACATTTGCCAGTAGTATTTGCATATTTCCCATGTCTGCAGACTGAGTGGTAGCCATTTGGCTTATTACAGTTAGATAACCACCTGGAACTCCTTCCTGGGAAAGTTCCCAAGTCTAGACACTGGAAATCACATATGTATTCAATTATAAGAAACTATTACTGTAAGGCCAACATAAATCTCCTACATCAACAATCAGTTGCCAATTATATCACATTCCACAATAAGCCTTCTATTAGAACTAATTTATGGAATGTTTGGCTTAGAAAAAAATCAATAAAATTAAGAGGAAGGGAGAAGTAAAAATATCAGGTCCTGACACTAGAGTGAACATTTGAACCCAAATATTAGTTTGGTAAGGGAAAAATATCTGCAGTGAACTGGATGAGCAGCACAATAACTGCAAACTAAAACACTCCATTCTGCAAACAAGGACAGTTGTGTTTACCTGCAGGATTCATCACATCTTCTCCTGCACTGTGCTCATCACAGTCTGTGAAAAAGTTTTAACAAAGATATTAGTGATTAGATTTTTCTTCTACACTACACATCCGCTATACAAGAGGCCAAAATTGCGGTTAGGCTTTTGGGGCAATGCAATAAAACCCAGGGGGATGTGTTTGAATTTCCATCAATAACTTGTAGTCATAGGGCAGTAACATTTATAACATCAACTACCTAAAAGTCAGCTGATTTTTTGGAAACTACAGAAAACAAAGATGATTCAAAATGAGACAACTAAGAAAAAAGTATTTACAAAACAAATTTGCATTGAGGAAACAGCAGACACTCTACACGTACAGAGAGATCACACAGAAGGGCAAGTGAACACACCTGAAATCATCCAAACCAAGAGAGTATTTTCCCTTTTCATTTCCCACTGAGTGCATTGACTGTATTCATCTGCTTTCTGTAGCCAAGAAATATTAGCTTAGTTTTCTTGGATAGTGCCATTTTAATTTAAACACAGTAGAGTTCGCTATGGCAACCCATTAAATGTTTAAGTAGAAATACTATAACTTGCAATTTCACTATAATTTGCAGTCTTAAATTTTGATTTAATTCTAAAAATAATCATTTCTCTCAGTTTACAGATGGGAAGAAATGTCTAACAATATAAGGATTAAAATCTTTGGTTACAAAGCTAAGGTCTTCTGAACATTACAGTCCCTTCCCAGGCAAATTACTCAATCTTTTTATTGGTTTTCAAACAGGATGTGATGCAGATATATCAGGGGCCATGAAATTGTTTTTGCCTTTGGTATATCTGAATGCATGACTGACAAAATAAGGCAAAGCAATAACCTGCATTACTATCTTGATCTGTTTTGTTTACAGTAACTCATAAAAAGTATTAACTGCAAGCAATATACAACACTGCTTTTTTTTCCTGCTTCTCAATCAATATTATGTTTTGACTAGTAAGTAAAGTTGATCAAGAATTTGTGTTGTTTATCAATTCTGAAAGGAAATTCTCAGACCCAGCCCAGACCTTCTCAAAGAAACTGCTCATTTCAGCAGAGATCATTTGGTCTCAATAGGAGCAAAAGGTTTAAGTTCCTTCTTTGGCAGATTCAGGCTCTTTTGGATGAGTTTGTTGCAACAGTTTCTAATGGAAGGTTCTCTTTCGTGCATGGTCAATGTTCAATATCCAGCAAGGGGAGAGAGTTCAGAATCACACGGGAGCTCTGAACAGCAAGCCACTACCTAACCAAAAAGCATCCTTCCATTTTTCAAGCAAACCACACTTCTGAGACCTAATTCAACCCAAATTTGGAACAAATTCATTTCTAGTGTTTAGAAACCCAGAACACACTGACAATTTGTCTGCAAGGGCTTTCCTTAATGCTAAACACGTATCTACTTTGGAACAAACTGAGCTCAGTCATTTGTAGGTTACTGTACTGGTTTGCCATAAAGTTTAGCATTTTAGAATCACCTCCACAGTACAATTACAAAAGCACAGATGGCAGTATGGAGACCTTGTTTGAAAGAAAAGCATGACATTGGTTAAAGACATGAACAGCCATTTGAAATCCAAATGAGACTATTCCTGTGTGTTTCTCTAGACTCATGCTGTTGGAGTACCTCAGCTGGAGTATCTCTGCTGTTGTCAACCCTTATACAAAAAGTAAAGAATGAGGGTAAAAAAAAATTTAGCAAAGTTGTCTCCTGAAATAACTAGAAGAATATTCAATACATTATTTTAAGTTCAGCAAATTCCTTGCATTCCCATGACTGCATACCAGACTAGGAAAAATGAATGCTTGCTTAATTGCCTGAAGTAGTCTCTCCGAAATACCGTGAACTGAAATTAAATTTAGTCAGAATTTTATTTCCAACAACATTTAAGAATCAAAGATGCTTCTGATCGGTGGAAAACATGGCATTATGAGTGAAGTTATTCACCCTCCCATCCAGCAGTTTGTTCCATGAAAG